CCGGGGGCCAGGTGGCAGTGGGTGGTTTATGGGGCAGCCTTAGAGGTGGGGAAGCTTCAAAGTTCACCCACTCCCCCCCCCCCCCCCCCCGCCCCGCCCCCCGACACACACACACACACACACACACACACACACTGCCCGTTCCTTCCCATCAGCAACTGAACGTGCCCAACACCTTCCACCTTTAAACAAAGAAAAACAGACCCATGAGCCCACGCCGTCCTCTAGGGACCACTTCCCTCTATCCTCCTCCTTTAAGGCCGTCGTCACGCGGCCTCCCATCGTCACTCCCACTTCCACTGGGCTCGTCAGTCCACTCCAATCTTGCTCATGGGCCTGGCACCAAGTTCACAGCCACCTCCACCTTCCAGTCTCATTTCACTCACCCTTTAGGCAACTTTGAAGCATCCACGTATGAAAAAAACAGCATGTACTACCCTCAGCAAACACCCGGCATCTACGAGGGCCATTATACAGGTGCAGTGGCATCGCAAGGACACATCACGAGACCCACCCGCCCTCTGCCAGCAGCCGCCACTCCAAGACCAGAGAGCGAGGCCATGGAATGGGGGCGGAGGGGGGGGGCGGACGTTATTTCAGAGAGGAATGCAGGAATCAGGACAATAAATGAAGAAGTTTAGCAAATAATCCTCAGCCCCTCGCCTAAGAGGCAGCTTCCCCTGACCTGGAGAGGAGCTATAACATTAAATGTTCATAAGCAAACGCTGGGCATCATCTACTTGAAGTGGCACCAGGGCCTGTGCCCATGTGAAAGTGGCTGTGCTGCCCAGGTCGGCGTCCATCTGGTGCCCAACCCTCGGGCTGCGCGGTCCCGGTGCCCAGTGTGACTGCGCAGGGACGGATCGCTCCCCAGCGGATGGGACAGGCCGAGGTCTCGCCACCACCCGCAGCAGGGCTTCCGCAGCGGCTCCAAGCCTCTCCGCGGCCCAGCCACCGTCAAACACCTTACATTCCGGTTTGGATGTTGACTTCACACAAAACTCCAGATGAAAGCAAATCCCCTCATTGCCCTTGAACTCGGGGTCAGGCCTCTGGGAACCAGCTGTGTATCTAGAAGAGTCCAGAGGTCAGCACGGCGAGACGATTCCAGCTCTCTCCCGGAAAGGGCTTCCGGAGGAGCTCGGCCGCTCGGCCGGGCGCGGAGGCTGGGTAATTGCCAGGCCGACCCTGGCGCCCCTTGCCCCGCTCACCTTCCACTGTAATGCACGCGCGGCATAATCATGAGATGTGCTTATTAATTTCACTCATTTGACACTGCGCCCCTCTGCCCTGAGCTCGATGTTAGGAGAAAATGATAGGGATGGATTCTGCTCCTGTCAGACTTACCAAGACTTTCAGAAAACCAGACGATCAAAGGCCATCTGCCGCCCACCAGCGAGCATCCGAGACGACCCCACAGGCACCAGCAGAACGTGAAGGACACAGATCAGCGAAACGGCAGAGCACGAAGGTGGGAGACCCGCGCCCAGGGGGTGAGCCCAGCAGGAGCCCTCCCAGGAGGGCAACCCAGGGCCAGTCCCCCCAGAGATGGCGAGCGCTGGCCCTGCCCCACCACGGCGTGCTGCTTCATATCTAATTCATCAAAAGACACTGGCTGCTCAAATCGGGAACAGCTTTATTAGCTTCCTCAAGAGTTTTATGGCACGAAGCCATACCTAATGATTCTATTTTATGACAAGTTATACATTCAAACAGTGCTTTGAAGTCAGGCAGCAGGAAGACTCAAATCTTTGTTAAAAAAGATTCCCTCGTCCCTTCACGTTTAAAATGTTTATAAGCTTTCAAACAGCTGGGAAAGTAACGCGGAGCATTTTAACAGGCTGTTCCCCCGCCCACAGGACCCAGTGCCGCTGACCCACTGTACCCGGCACCGTTCTCAGCGGGGGCTGATCCTGCCCCCCCCACCCCTCAGCCTGGGGACACCTGGCAATTTCTGGACACGTTTTTGGTTGTCCAATTTGGGGGGTTGGTGCCACTGGCATCTGGTAGGTAGAGGCCAAGAGAGCTGCGAGACATCCTAGGACCACAGGACGGCCCCACAGCACAAAGGTATGTGATTGTCAGGCCCAAAAGGTCCATCATGCCAAGGCCGAGAGACGCTGCCGCGGGGCTCCTTCGGGGCCCGCCTGGGAGCCAGACACTCGTCTCATCACCTCGGCAGGTTCCCATGCTGGCTGCCGAGGCCCCCCCTCTTTCCGAGTCTTGGTACACCCTCCCAACAAACAAGAATAAAACGCTGCCCTAAACGAGAGGGAAGCGAGGCCACTTCGGAATCTCAGAACCAGGACCAGGGTCAGCGTCTACTACACCCTCCTGATGTTACTCTGCATTTTTTAAAGCTCCACCCAAATCGGAGTTTATTTATGGAAACAACAAAAGAACCAGTTCCGGCCATCAGTGCTACTGACCGCCACCGACATCTGCCGAAACACACGGCACGCTCCTGCCACGCGGTGGTGGGTCAGTCAGAGCGCTGGGCTTGGGGGGTCGGGTCCTGACCTGCCCCCAAGGACGCGGACTCTGTCCTTCACCTCCCGGAGCTCGGGTTCTCCCAGCAGCAGAGATGCAGCCACTGGCCCTCCCAGCGCAGCCGTGAGCTCCATGAGCTGCTGGGAGGACGCTGCTCTGGACGCGGTAAGAGCTGCACGATTGTATGTGACATGTGTCCGTGGGGGACACTCTATGACAATCGCCAAGGGTCTTCCAGACACTTGGATCCTTTCATGTAATGTCACAACGAGAAGCGACCGGAAATCAATGAATCCAGCCCTTGGATTTTACAGGAGGTGAAAGTGAGCATCCCAGAGGTCAAGGGCCTCGGCCAGGGACAGCCCAGACAGGCTCCAGCCCTCTGACTCCCAGTCCAGGACACTCCCCTGCCTGCCCCCTGGTGCTCTCCCCCTCCCTGCTTAAGCTCCTACAGGGAAGAAACATATCTTACACACAAGGTTCAGAGGGTCTTGAACACAGGAGGTAAACATCTGTTGAATCCGTGAACAAAAGGTACAAAGCGGAGTCCTGACTTACTACATCGTAGCCTGTCGGGGCGCGGTTCCGCGAAGCCACCACCCCCACGCCTGTGATGGGGTCCATGGGCGTCTCCGGCAAGGCTTCTGAAAGGTCTCTGACTTCAGGCATGGTGGACTTGTCCTGGTTCCGAAAAGGAAAAAGAAAGCACAGGATTCAAACTCAGCGCTTAACGGGAACAATGCAGAGTCTCACACAGATAGAACCGGACTCTCGGGGCCAATGTCCTGAGCTGAGCTCCACTGCCTGAAAGAGCTAACGGAGCCCTGGCCCCACCTGACTCTTTCCTCGGAGCAAGAATTCAAAACATCACTGGCCTCCGCTTGTCTCAAGTTGGCCTTGAACACTGAGCTAACAGTTAATGAGGGCTTGTCCCTGCTCTGAGGATGCATGTAATTTAAACTCAGACCCAAAGGCAAACCATTCTCAGATCTCCCACCCAGCTGCCTGACTCTGAACAGACACCAGTAGCCTCTCTGAGGATAAGTCAGACTTGACTAAGTCTAACCCCACCTTGCATTTCCCTCCCTTGTACTGTTTCCTACGGAGGTGCAGACTTCCAACCCTACAGTCTCTGCCACAGCCAAGCGGGGCCGCACAGCGGACAGCTTTGCAAACACGCCTGGAAGAAAGTCTCCCGGCATGGCGGCAAAGGAATGGTTCCAGTCCAGGTGCCACAGCCTGAGCGACACCGAGTCTTTGTACTGACAGTCCCAGAGCTGCTGTGAGAGCCAAGAGTCACGTACAGGAGGGTCCTGGAGCGGTCCCTGCACACAGTGGGCACTCAACTAAGAGCAGATGAGGCTGGTGGGGTTTGGGGTGCACATGCCCAGGGTAACTGACCAGAAACGTGGTAGGCATCACTCCCAAGAGGACTAGAAGGTCCCTTTTTTGTGTTTAATCCTGCAGGTCGTGGGCATTTACTCAAAGCTAAACACTAACAATGACCGCAGTTCTTGCTGGGCACTTGGGGAGAAAGGGAGGGGAAATGGAATTATTATTCTGCTGCTGACTGCCCCTTGATGTGACCAGAGGAGACAAGCAGTATATAGAGAGCACTGGGTCTGGGCAGCTGAGTGGCAGTGCACCAGAAAGCAAATAAAAAAGGTAACACCTTATGTAAATGACTTTTAGTACTTTCAAAAGGACAAGCCTTGAAAAAGAGCAAGTTAAATTCCACCTCCTTCTGCAACAATTAAGTTCCCCTGGCTGCAGGTCTGCCAGATCGCTCTAGGCTGGTTACTGCTTCCAAAGCAAACCGCACACCCTGCCTAACCCGGCAGGCAGGAGGAATATTCTTCGTTCTCAGCCGAGAATCAGAAAAGGCAGAGGCTATTAAAAAGGAGTTTGCCTCCTAAATAGGAACAACCAAAATGCTATATGCAAGTCCCCCATGTAATCAGCATCCAGGACCCCACAAAAGGCTCCGGAAACAGACTTAACACAATGCAGCCAAATCTCCGATCAAGGTGTTTCCTAGCCTGGCAGCAGCTGCACTTTCAGCGTCTGTTTATGACAAAAGCAAACCAAGTTACGCTTTACTTGAGTCTGCTGAAAATAAGCTCTGGGAGCCCAGGGCAGGGCCCAGGATGCCACGCTGCATCACTGCATCATTCTCTCTTATTAAAGTGTCATTTATCAGGTAGGGTTATCTGCATAAAGCACCCGGCTGAGTGCTCCCCACACACAGGTTTAAAGTATATATTTACTGAATGAATGAGTGCCCACGCACGCCCCCAATAAGAGAAGGTCTGTCATTAAATATCTGCACCAGCACAATCCCAAGTAAACACCGATCAAAAAGTATCTTCACTTGGAAAATCCCCTCTTACCGGTAACCTAACAACAATGCTGCAGTTTGCAAAATGTGGGTAGCTGCTGTTGGTTACCAAAATGCTTTGCAATTAACAACTCATTAGCAGAATGTACGAATTCTACTAGTGCTGAAACATCACGCTGTGAATTTAATAAAGAACATGCGAGGTAAGTTTTTTCTTTATTAATACAGTACTGCCTCTACTATCTGAGAGAGCAGGAGGGGGAGGCGAGCCTGGGAATAAAGAAGGAATATTCTATTTGCTGATAGATTCGCGTCCTCGGGTTCCAATATCCTGCACGAGGCACTGATGACAATGGCTCGGCTCTGCTCGGCGCCGCTGTCAGGTGCGGGCGGGGACCCGGTGGCGGGGATGCGCTCCCAGAATGCACCGC